TTATAAAAACTAATCACACCAGACTGTTCAGCTCAAACAGTCAATTTTGAGCAGGCAGTTTTCCTGGGCTGAGCTACAGATTGATTGATTTATTTATTTATTTAGATTTCTCCCCCGCTCATCTCCCCCCAATGGGGGACTCTGGGCGACTCACGCAGAACATTAAAACCATAAAAAAATAAAAATACAAAAAACAAAAAATTTAAAAAACATAACAAAAAAAAAAGAAAAAGAGGGTCCAGGAAGATGAAGAATCTGGGGCTGAAGACAGCAGGCCTCTATGGGGCTAGATGCTTGAGGAATTTCACTACCAGGCTCCATCTCCCAGAGATGCAGATCTAACATAATTATCCTATTGGATGTTGCTCTTTTCTGTTCGTAGCCACACAATCCTTGTTTGCAAAAAATTACCCCAATACGTCTAAAAATACACTTTGGATGTAGATCTGTTCAGAAATGTGAGATGTGGATAGAAGGCATTCATGTATTTAAATATACTTTTAAAAATTGCTGAGTAATGCAGAAACAGATGCCATAGGGCCTTTGCACAAATACCTTGAAACTTGTACAGATTGATACAGACTAGCATGCAAAAATATCCAGGAGCAGTTTCCAAAAGAGCCACAGGAATGGAAAAAGAGGCAGCTGTTGTAACTACTTGGAAAAAAAAGAGGCTTTGTATGAACTCCTGTGTGCTTGTATGGACCTCTTTGCACAGCTCTGATATAGTTCATCTGTGTGTCTATATGCAGATTAACACAACAACAGTACGATACTCACCAGTTTAGATATACCTGCATCTACACACACATCCAGGAGAAGCTGTGATGATTATCTTTTGAAAATGATTTATTTGACCAAGACAAGTACTCCAGCAATACCAAGGCAGACAAAGCTGGGTTACCTGACAGCAGTGCCAACATAGACCAATTCAGCCAAATAGAAAGCCCATAAATAATAGCACCTGGTTATAATTGTAACCACAGTGCTTTATAACATTATTATAAAGTGCTTTATCGCGTCTGTGCAAAAGATGAGAACAGCCCTGGGAAAATAGCTCTCAGTGTTAAGTATCAAAGAAAAAAAGGATTATTCTGATTGAAAGGCAGTAATGCCAGTCTTCCAGTATTTAGCTAGAGTTAACGTTTTGTAGGTTGTCTAAGAAAGAAAACACATAGATCTTTAAAAGAAGACATTAATGGGCTACAAACCTAGCCATGCTGTTCTTTTCTACTCTGCCCTCTTATGTGACCCCTGAGAACATGTGTTTTTACTTCTCCAGAGACTCTGAGTTTACTCTCCTGCCAAGATACAAAGAGCTGTTTCTTTATCTTCCAGACTAGTGTTTCTCAACCTTAGCATCTTTAAGATATGTGGACTTCAACTCCTAGAATTCCCCAGCCAGCATGGCTGGCTGGGGAATTCTGGGAGTTGAGGGTCACACATCTTAAAGTTGTTAAGGTTAAGAAACTGTTCTAGGCTGCTCTCTTGTATGGTGGCTAGGCTGCTTGCTCATATGGGAGCTGAGGTCCACACATCTTAAGTTGTTAAGGTTGAGAAACTGTTCTAGGCTGCTCTCTTGTATGGTGGCTTCTCCAAACATGCTAAGCTCAGGGATAAACCTTGGTGCCATTCAGCAGGTTAGGCCAAACACCCCAAAGCATTGAAGGTTTGCATTGCAATGCTGTCTGTCCCCCGAAGATGGGAGTTCAGCTGTATTCTTGGGATTAGCATGAACAACAGGAAAAAAAGGTTACCCCATGATCATGTTCATGGAGTGCAAATTTAAAACGTGATGGCTTAGCATGGACTTCCCTCTTCTTTCACAGAAACTGCCTAATTTGAACAAGGACCCAACAGGACCACCATCTTTGTAACGCAGTGCTTTGAGGGAAGTCCTACGGGGTGTTTAAAAGACCAGCCACTGCATGTAGCCAATCTTTTGATGTGGTGATAAATTATCTGGGGACCTGGGCACTTTTCTGAAGCTGCAAGAGTTACTTCTGGTAATGATCTTGAGCTATTGCAAATTTAGGGCAAAAAAGAAACTGTAAGCCAAGGAAAGGAGCAGGAAAAACTCCAAAGATGTGTTGCTTTTTCCTAGAGATACAATTTCTAGATTCTCTTAGGTATTTTGACATACATTGTTTCCTCTTTTAAGTTTACAAATGCCTGCCCTAAATTTGGGGAAAAGTTGTTTATCTCACAGCTTCCTCTCTGGCTGGTTGCAGCAATCATAGCTTAGCTGCCTTGCTGGCTCGCTCTGAAGACAGGAAATAACTCTGCTTTTTACTCTCTGAATTCCACAGGGAGATGGTGGAATACAATCCCACAAATACCCAGCAAAAAGGCATATTTATTAAGCATTTATCCAAGCTGATAATGCTTATACATCTTGTATCACTCAGTGGGGGCAGCACTTAGCTGACCTTTTCTAAACTTGGAAGATAAGCAGAGTTGACCTGACTAGTATTTAGATGGGAGGCCACCTTGAATATCTGAGCTATATGTTACAAAGCTTACTAAATATTCTGCATAATCAAAGTTTTTGAACCAGGTCTTTCCCCCACATTAAATTCTTTTGTGAATGAGCAAGCCCTCTTCCCTGATAATTTTTTCTGAGAACATTCAGGATATGCTCTTAGAACTCCATCAGTCCAAAAAGATTTGGGGACCTCTGACTTATATAGTACATGCAGGGAATCCCCAAAACAAAGACTGATAAAGCCAATAATTTGATGTGGAGGATCACACAGTCCATTCTTGAAGATTAAATTGAAATGAAACAAATAGATAATTGCGGTAGGAGCAGGTGACGCATAGTCACATTTAACACGTTATCAAAATATACCAGTGTAATCTATGAATTTCAAGGCATTCAAGATATATTTTGGAGCTGGCAGTATTCACATGTGAAAGTCTCCAAATGTCACATTTGGGAGAGTTCCTGAAATACATACACTGAGAAGATTTAATGGCAAGCTCATAGGAATAACAGAACTCCTAAGTTTATTTTAATAAAAACAGTTTTTGAGGGAAAAGGCAACAAGGCATATAGAACAAATTTGATTTATATTTGGCTCATATTGAAAGG